AGATAGATAGATAGATAGATAGATAGATAGATAGATAGATAGATAGAAAGAGAAAGAAAGAAAGAAAGAAAGAAAGAAAGAAAAAGAAAGAAAGAAAGAAAGAAAGAAAGAAAGAAAGAAAGAAAGAAAGAAAGAAAGAATAATTTGGTAGGTAGATGATATAGATAGATATGATAGGTAGGTAGGTAGGTAGATGATAGAAATGATAGAGATGATAGGTAAGTAGATAGAGGCGATTACCATGTTTTCCTGAAAATAAGACCCTGTCATTATTTTTCCACCAAAAAAGGCACCAGGTCTTATTTTCGGGGGATGTCATCCACTGACTAACCTCACTTGCGCACGTCACCTCTGGCCTCCTTTTTGCGGTCAGAGGCTTTCAGGAACTACTACTGCGTCCGGCATGGCTTTCCTGAAGGCTTCTGCAGCCAATAACAAAGCTCTGGATCGATCAGGAACTTTGTTGTCAGCTAAAGAGGCCTTCAGGAAAGCCTTGCCGGCTACAGAAGAAATGGGCCGGCAAGGCAGGCGTCAGGGTGTGCCAGGCCCGGTTACAACTGTTTGAAAGTAAGTAGTAGGGCAGCTTTACCTACCCACCCCCATCCCCACCCTAACTTAATTTTTACCCATGAATTCTGGAGTGGGCGGGATCTTAATTAGGGCTTATTCGAGGTGATGGCTTATATTGGGCACACTTGTAAAAATCAAACTAGGACTTACTTTCAGGGTAGGTTGTATTTTTAGGGAAACAGGATAGAGATAGATGAGATAGATTAAGATAGGTAGGTGCGTAGATGAGATAGGTAGATAGAGATGAGATAGAGATAGATAGCCTGTGTGTGTGCCAAATGCAAGGAATGAGCTGCTTGCAACAGAATAAAAGTCAAATAAAAGCAAACAGGAAGAATAGACCTGCAGCACACAAACAAGTCGTCTCTGGGCGAATCCTGCTAAATCAGAAAGTTTTGTACATACATACACACACATACCATTGCATTTGAGAGGAAGGAAAACTGGGGAAAGGTTAATAAAATACAGAGGAAAGAAAAGGAAAGAGAAAGCATGCCAATTCAGAACGGAATGGACAGAAAATAACAGGGAAAAAGGTCATAAGGAGAAGAGCATAAAGAATCAGGCAATTCGGGTTGGAATAGGGGAAATGTCAGATTGCACAATGGAAAGGAGTAAACTACAGAGAACGAATGAAAATACTGCAGAGAACATGCAAACATATTATGCACGTTCTGTATTACACAAGCTGTCCAGTTCTATTTTTCTACTCAACGCCTGTTAATTTCAGCAAACAAATTTAAAACAAGTATGCTTATGTCTCAAAAGTTGCCAATCTTGATTTCTCTCCAGTCCAATAACCCTTTTTCCGCCAAAATACTTACATTTATGTAGTAACCTCAGTGTGGGATAAAAAGGCCCCTCCCTTTGTCTGAAGAACAGCAGTTCACCATTTACTGTGAGAATTTCTATATGTTCATGACTGAAATGTACAAAATTAACACACGATTATTTTTTTTAAGAAAGTGTTTCTAATAACCATTTAGAAATAATCATGAAAGAGAAAACTTTACATATTTCAAATGGGGCATTGGATAATCTGTAAGCTACCCATAGTCGCCTTATAAAGGAAACGGGCAGAATAAAAAAATTTAATAAATAAAATAAGGAACAAAATAACCCTCCAAGGTTAATGTTTCCATTAAACACGAATATCCTGGTAGCCTCCAATTCAAAAAATATCGTGTAAATATTCCAGCATCTGTTTTTCATTTTGTCCAGTACAGTTTCAATCTAGCAATCTATTTCTCACATCTAAGAAGTAACAATACAGAAAAGCAATTTGAGGAAGCAGAGGAACTTACCATCGTACTATCTTAACAGGATCTTTCTTTGGCATAATTTGATTTAGCCATGGTTCAATACCCGGGAACTGATCTATCAGTTGGTTTTTAATGCCTTTAATAACCGACGTTTTCAACTGGATACAGTTTGATACGTTCTCCTTTTCATCAAATCTGACCAATGAATAAAATAATATTAGAAACAACCTTTGGTCCACTTCTTCATCCACTGCCAAGGTGGTTATGCATATATTTCTTTGTCAACAAAACTGCAGTGACTAATCCAGATCAGGAAGCAACATGGATTTGAAAGCATTAAAAAAAAAAAGCCCCCCAAACATCTGGCAAAGTTCTATTTTTGTCACATTTTACTTCAGGTCATCTGTTCGGGATTCCTTCTCAAAGACTGTATTTATTAATATTAATGTGCATTATTAATGTTTACAATAATATTTGCATCATTTTAAATATTGTAATCTTGTTTTTTAATTGATTGAGTCCCCTCTACACAAGATAGGTAGCGTATCACTTTTACAAATATATAAACATATTAAAATAAGGTATGCTGGATCTCGCCATGATTAGTACCACTATAATCCCCGACATCTCCAAAATTGTCATGTGAGCCCAAACTATCTCAGAAGACAAACTGAAAAGGGGGTATTACAGTGAACTCCCTAAAAGAGTGGAAAATGATCAGAAGTTCTGACAACGGAAGGGATAAAAAGTTTATTTCCTGTATGGATATGGGATTCCCATCCCGCCCCTTCAACCAGCCTGCACCAGCCAGGAGGTCAGGTAATGTAAATATTTAATATATTAATATATCAATATTTGGAATGGCTGTCCCAGCCCTTTATTGTTCTCCAAAGCATCTTGCAAGCAGGACAAGAAGCAACGGGTGGAAGTTTTTTCAAAGAGAGACCCAACCTGGAACTAAGGAAGAATTAATTTCCTTGACAGTGAGAACAATAAATCAGGTGAAAACAGCTCACATCCTGAAGCTGTGGGTGCTCCAACACTGGAGGTTTTTAGAAGACATTGAACCACCATTTGTCCTGGATGGTATAAGGACTCCTGCCTTGGGCAAGGGGGGTGGACTAGATGACCTCCAAGGTCTCTTCCAGCCCTACGATCCTACTTCTAATTCTGATTGCGCTGATATTGTATCTCAGTACGGATCTGGCCGTTAGGGTGACATTTAGTGGGGCTGGTGCCTTGGAGCCTGGGGGCTGGACTAGAGGACCTCCAAGGTCCCTTCCAGCCCTGTTGATCCTATTTCCGATTGCATGATTGAATATGAATCTGAGAGATAGGGAGAAATTTAGTGGGGTTGATGGGTGTGCCTTGGAGGGGAGGGAGGGAGGCTCGACTAGAAGACCTCCAAGGTCCCTGCCAGCCCATTCTGACCGCACTGATACCGTATTCTCAGTATGTATCCGAGACTTGGGAATGACATTGAGTGGTAGTGGAGGGAGGTGGGTGGGTGGACTGTTCTGGGGCAGGGGGGCTGGACTAGACGACCTCCAAGGATCCTTCCCGCCCCGAGATTTACGTCGGTTCTCACAATCAGGCAGAGATTTTCTGCTGGATTTGGCATCTCTGGACCCCCCCCCGCCCCCCCCCTCCCCTCATCCCCCAGGAGATCCTTATTAGCAACAAGTCATCGCCACCACTAAAGCCTACCCGTCTCCTCCCGGGCCTGGATGATGGGAGTTGTAGTCCCTCCTCCCCTTTCCCCCCCCC